AGAAAGAAAGAAAGAAGAAAGAAAGAAAGAAAGAAAGAAAGATAAAGAAAGAAAGAGAAAGAAAGAAAGAAAGAAAGAAAGAAAGAAAGAAAGAAAGAAAGAAAGAAAGAAAAAGAAAGGAAGAAAGGAAGAAAGGAAGAAAGGAAGAAAGGAAGAAAGAAAGAAAGAAAGAAAGAAAGAAAGAAAGAAAGAAAGAAAGAAAGAAAGAAAGAAAGAAAGAAAGAAAGAAAGAAAGAAAGAAAGAAAAGCTAACTTGGGGAACATTCATCTGGAATTACCACTGAGGTCTAGCTGAGGAGGAGACGCGTCAGGAAGGACAGAAGCCACCTGGAGACAGGGAGGAAGGGCGCGGTGGCCACGGGTGGGCAGCAGGCAGAGAGCAGGGTGGTCTCAGCCACGGGAGGGTTTTTCCTGAGAAGATCGTGGCCGGAGCCCAGGCTGGACTCCACAGCTCAGAGCCCCAGAGCCAAGAGCAGGTCGCATCCAGCCGTACACGCCCACAGGGCTTCTGGCCGAGGGAGCCCTCAGAGATAAAAGCCTGTTTCTGGGGTTTTTAACCCCAAAGGACAGAATTTTCATTTGCAGCTACTCACCCAGGAGGAGGGAGGGCGGTGCAGACTGCAGGTGCCGAGGACAGGCGGGTGGGAAGTATTGGAGAGACATTGGCCGGGAGACTCGCACCGGGTGGTACCTTCCCAAACCAAAGCAGCCGCTTTCCCGAGAGGCACTGCCCCCCCCCCCCCCCAGAAGCCACAGCTCAGGAAAAGGGAAAGACCCGCCCCAGTGATGCAGCCCGCCCACCCTCGGCAGCCCTGCCCGCCGCCCCCTGCACCCCGGCCTCTGCAGGGGAGGCAGCAGCAGAGGCCAAGCCTACAGGTCCCATCAGCCTCAGGGGGCTGCAGGGGCTGGCTTGGGGTTGGGCTGTCCACCCCACTCTCCTGGGAACCCAACTGGTGCTCCCCCCTCACTGGAGAGCTGACAGAACTCCAGGTTTCCAGCCGATCCCACTGCACTGCATCCGAGGATCTCTGTGCAGCCGAGGGCAGGGAAATATTCTGGGTCGTTCTCAGAGGAGTAGCACTGGGATGGGGAAACACACCCACCGCCCCCTTCCGGGAGAATCAGAGTCTAGACTCCAGATTCCTCCGAAAGCCCTTTTAGAAAGAGGCTTCTGAGTGCTTCAGGTGGGCAGTTGGCTGGCAGGCAAAGGCAGGTGGATGCAGCGCCATGGCAACCTGGGAAGGTGGCTGACCCGTCCCCGGGCCCCATGGTGCTGACAAACTGGCCTTAGAGGGCAGCGTGGCCCCTTCCAGGCACAGCCAAGGCCTGTGGAGAAAGACACAGACTGTGGATCGCTTGAACCTTCACACAGGGGACTGAGCCCAAGGAGGACCGTCTCTGACAGAGGGTAGCACCCAGGTACCTCCCGGGAAGCCCAGAACTGGCGGAGAGAACAGCCAGCTGTAGTCACCAGAGAGCAGGACCCAAAGGGTCCCGGGAGGCACTGCATCTGCTAGACAAACGCCACCTCACTTTTTTCTTTATCTTATCTTCCTTCTTTATGGATTTGTTATGATTTCATCTTTTTTTCCTTTCACATATCTAAGTTTTCTCTTCCAATTTCTTACTCTTTTTTTCTTCTTTCTCCTGCCTTCTTTGTTTTTCCTGTTCTCATTTTTTGTCTATCTGTTTTCTCCTCTGTTTTCCTTTTCATAATTGTTTTCTTTCTCTTTTCTTTTATACAGATTTCCTTCCCCTAATCTTTATTCTTATTTTCTTTCTTTCATCTCTGCCCTTTCATATTTCTTTTTCTCCCCCTTTTTTTCTCCTCATTTTCCCCCTTTTCTCCTATTATTGTTCTCTTTTCTCCTTCCTAATTCTCTCTTCATTTGTGGTTGCTTTTCTTGTTGTTGTTGGAATCTTGTGTATGTTTTGTTTGTTTGTTTCTGTTCTGTCAGCACCTGCACAACAGCCTGAATGACATGGTCGGGGGTGAGCCTCACAGTCAGCCAGCCTGAGAGGAGATTCCACCCCCAATGGGACAATAACATTTAAGGCTCAATTACAATAGGAGAGCTCAAGTAACTCACACAGGGACATTCCTAGAGCACCCAGCTCAGAGATCTAAGAGACTACACCACTGGCTCCAAAAAAAACTCACTACATAAGGCCATCCCACAAAGACT